CCTTTGTCAAATATCAGGTGGCTGAAATTGTGTGTCCTCGGGTTTGGATCTTCAATGATGTTCCACTGATCTATGTGTCTGTTTCTGCACTAGTACCATGCTGTTTTTATGACTATGGCTCTGTAGTATACTTTGAGATCTGGTATAGTAATCCCCCAAGTGTTGCTCTTTGTGCTCAGGGTTGCTTTGGCTATCTGGGGTCTTTTATGCCTCCATATGAATTTAAGGATCCATTTTCTAATTCTGTGAAGTATGTCATGGGGATTTTGATTGGACTGAGGGCATTATTTTCATTTTAGAGAAAAGGAAATTATCACTCAGCGCTTAAGTGACTTATTCAAGTCACTTGCTCCAAAGGCCACACCTACCTTGCTAAGGCACAGTCACTCAAACAGGGACTGAATCTGATGCCATGTGTTACAAGTATTTTCACATCTATTATTGACAATGACCACCTAAGCCTGTTAGGACAACATCACTGTCTATAACTTACAGATTAAAAAAAAAAAAAAGAAACCTATGTTTAGAAATAAACTCACCTAAATGCTAAATGACAGCAAATATTCAGCAGTGGAGCTTGTTTAAATTCACATTTTCTTACTAAAAATCTTTTATCATTTCTACATCAGCACATTATATCTTTTTTTTTTTTATGTATGAGTGTATTGCCTGGATGTATGCGAGTGCACCCATGTCATGCAATGCCACGGAAGTCAGAAGAGGGCTTTGGCTTCCCCAGGAACTGGAGTTAAGGGCGGTTTGTAGCCACCATGTGGGTGGGTGCTGGGAATCGAGCCCAGGTTGTCTGCAAGAGCAAGTGCTCTTAACTGCTGAGCCAGCTCTCCAGTCCCAGCACATTACATCTTTTATAAAACACTTTTTATTTTTAATTATATGCATGTATGTACATCTGTATATTAGTATGTGCATGTGCATGCAGTGCCTGTGGAGGCCAAAAAAGGGTGTCAGATCCCCTGGAACTGGAGTTACAGGCAGTTGTAAGCCACCCAATGTGGGTGCTGGGAACTGAACTCAGATTCTCTGCAAGAGCAGAATACACTCTCTCCAGCCTGCTCACACTACTTATCAGTGGCTTCCCTGACCATCCTAGTGTCTAGGTTTCCATCCTTGGAATTCTTTCCACACTGTTCACAGAGCTGTCCTAAAGCTTGCATGGTCTCCTTGGTATTCCAACATTTCTCCACCACAGCTGCAGTGAACACCACATGGTACTGAGAGGGAGCTTGCTTTATACCTACACCAGTGAGTTCGTCTGTGTGACTGTCCATCTGTCCATTCATCCCTTCTTTCTGCTGCTTCCCCCCCGCCCCCATTTCTGCAGTGCTGGAACTGAACCCAGGGTCTTGCAAGTGCTTGGTAAGCACTCTACCACTGAGCTACACCTTCAGCTCTGAGTACTTTAACTTGCCAGAATACATTTCCTCTTTACAATGGCCCTGTGAGACAGATTGGTTCTCCTTGTTTTACGAAAGTAGAAACTGGGGCCACAAATGCTAAATCATCTACTCAAGGTCATATCACTACTAGTGGCACAGCCTTGATTTGAACCCAATTACATAGTTCTCTAAAGCCCATGACTTTGACTATGATAAACTCTATCTCTACATACTTGACCCTAAACTCCTTGGAGACAAGGATGGCAATTTAGAATTCTCTTCATTTCCTACAATGACATACAGACAATTTGATGCTTAAATGCACTTGAGCCCACAAGTTTATTTTGGTCCAGTGCACATGCCAGGTAGGCAGCTGGTATACAGGGCGAGAGATACCATGTACACACATGGTAACTGAGCTGGGGATGGGGTCAGTCACTTTGTGCTTAAAAAGAGATCAGGAAGAAGAATTTAGATGGAGCACTGAAGATGATGGTATTTAAAATTTGGTTTGAGAGGGCAATTTACCAAAGACAGAAGGATACCCAGAGACATGTGAGGAAAACCAGGAGACAGTGTTGGGTGAGTGAAGAGAAGATACTACATTAGTGAGGGACTGTCCACAGCACTAAAGGCCACTGTGTGGGCAAGATGAGGACTAGGGATTTTAGAGTGGCATAGAGGTTGCTGGTCTTTGTCACACACGGCCATTTGAGTGGGGAATGGGGACAAAAGATGAGTTAAGTGAAGAGTGAATGGGGGTAAAGGATGAAATGGAAATGGGTTTGACACAGAAATACAAAGAGGTGGTGACGATGATGTGTTAGATTAAAAAAATTAACTATATGTACTTATGTATTTGTGTGGGTGGGTCTGTGTGTGTGACAAAACATATGTGGTCAAAGGACAACTTCCAGGAGTTGGTTCTCGCCTTCTACCATGTAGGTCCCAGGGATTGAACTCGGGTCAGCAAGCTTGGAAGCAGGCACCTTTACCCACTAAGACCGCTTGCCAGGCCTGAGGAAGGATCAAACATGTAAATAGCCTGCTTCTGCTCAAACTTTCCTCCTCTAATTTTAACCTCCTTGAGGGGCTTTTGCCTGTAACAAGTATTGGGTGGTGCATGCCCAGTAGTTGTTTTCTGTTTTTTCCCTTCCATTCATATTCATTAATTAAAATTTTTCATAAGAGTCTTTTCTAGTTATTTATATCAGTATACACTTGTGAATATCTATTTTATTCCATGAGCTGTAACACAATATATGAATCTATCTTACTGGTCACACTGTTGTGGTATTAACCACCGAAGAGCCAGTTGGTTCCTGTGCTCATCCAACAGGTCCCCACTCTTTGTTGGGCATGTCCTTACTTTCTGGCACCATGAGAAGCTGCTGGCTTATCCTGCATTTGTTCGTGCCCCACTCTGGAATCAACTACTTCTTAAGGAGCCCTGTTCCTTTT